GCAGCATTATACTGTTAGCAGTGTGGTACTGTTAGCAGTGTGGTACTATTAGCAACATTATACTATTAGCAGTGTGGTACTGTTAGCAACGTGGTCCCATTAGCACCATGACAGGCTGGAGCCTGAGTCCGAGGTGGGAAGGGGGCCGGGAACTGAACCACAATGGCACAATGGCAGTGACACACAAAACTCCAAAAGCGTTTCCGGTCAAACCCGTAGTGCGAGTGTGCAGTGGAGGTGCAAAAAAGTCTAAACAAAAACAACAGGAATAAAAAAGAGTGAGTCGAAGTGGTGCTCCCGTCAGAGCTGCCATACTGCTGCGCACGTGACGTGAGCAGGCCGTCTTCACAAACTGAGTGACCGTGAAGAAGGAGAACAGTGAGAGAGACCAACAATACACCACTGACTGCTCTGCAAGAGTTTACAGCTTTAACAGATCACATGAGTCTGTGCATACAACAACTGTTGCCTCAGTTCTTCACCAGTCTGAGCATTATAGGAGAGCGGCAAAGAGAATCTAAAACTCTAGATAAACTCTAGTTGCGATTTCTCGAGTTTTAAATTCGACTTAGTTTTTTTTTTATTAAACACATAAAAAACCTGTTTGAAGCATCAGTATAATTCTGCAACTGTCATTATGATTCATAAAAAGTAGTTGAACAACTTTCTATTGAACCAAACTAACACGTAATTTTTTTTTTTATAAGTTAGTTCACTCGTTAACTCAGGAAGATTCTTTCTATCCCATTTTTAGAGTCTGCGATTCTCTCTGACCTTCATACTTCATTAATTTTTCATGTAAATAATATTATTCATATTTTTAATGGATGGCAGAACTCTGTAAACTCATAAAGTGTTTTCAGCTGCAATGAAAAACAGTCAAATGAACCTTTAATATCTCTATTTATGAAATAATTACCCATTCAATTAATTTCAGAGCCCTGATAGATATTTTGGTTTAGAAAAAAAACATTTTTAGGGCTTTGCTCACTTCTCCAGCCTCAGCACCAGATCTTCCAGTCGAGGTTCTGTCACCAACAATCTGAGCTGGAACTAATCAATTCCAGCAGCTTCTGCCGAGTCACTGGATTGGAAGCAGACATGGATGTTTTTATTTTTTGGTCTTGTGTAATAGGAAAAACCCCAAACTATAGGAGCTCGACATATTTATGTGATTTTGTTTTCACCGTGACCTTCAACTTGTCAAGACGTAGCTTCCGTTTCTGGTTCTGGGACCGAGAGAAGGTCTGTTAAAAGTGAGACTCTAATGCAATCAACTACGATAGATACAAATGAGTAACAGAAAGAGAAACGAGAGCGTGAGGAAAAAGTAAGAAAGGAGAAGAATGATGATTCCACTCATCACATCCGTTGCTGCTCTCGCCTCCCACGTAGAGGACCGCCCTCGGGCCACACACTCGGAACGGCTGAAAATCCCTGCACCTTTAAAAGGTTTTTCTGTTTATTTGTTTCCACACCAATAAAACCAGCTGGATGGATTTGTGTCAAACGCTGCCCACTCCGAACAGCTGAGCCCGCCGGATTACTGGCAGCAGCGGGGTGTTGTAATTTCCAGTCAATTCCCCCACAACGGAAAAGATCACTCACTGCAGCTACTTTCTCTCCTCATTCCCATTAGTCCTCTTCCTGCTGTCGCCGTCTTACAGGGAATCCCTTCTGAGGCCGTGATCTTTAAATTCGTTCCACGTTTGAGCTGAAGTTCAGCTCTTGAGATGAGCTGTGTGGGTGCTGGTTTCCTCTGAAGAGAGTCACGGCGGAGAACAAAGTTACTGTTGTTTTCTAATGTTGCAGGGGTGGAGGTGGACTGGGAACAGTTGAAGCAACACTAAGGAGCAGAGAGACAGACAGCTGTAATATCAAAAGGAAAGCATCCAAGTTCAACAGACGAGCCTTTACGCTTTTTATTTGGGACTCCAATAGCGGAGGACTTGATAAATTTGATCTTTGCGCTCAGGCGTAATTCCTTGTTTTAATATTCTAAATAAAGTGTCCAGACCTACAGGAAGGATAACCAGAATAATTTTAGAATCAAAGTCGAACAGTATTTTTTCTGTGACTCTTACAGTATGTGTGAGCATTAACTATTATCCACAATTAAATTAAAGTTCAACCAGGAGGCGTCACTGTTTCTAAATGAGGCTGGAGGGATCAGATATGCTGAGGAACACATGATTCTGTTGGGTCCTCTTGGATTTAGGTACTTTTTAAAATTTTTTTATCAAAACCAACCAACTTTATTCACTTTACCCTTTTCAATCAAGTCTACCCATAGTTCTGTGCAGAAACAAAGCTTGAAAAAACACACACTTGAAAAAAACAGACAAATAAACAACAATAAGGTAAATATCAAGCAAAAAACAACAACAAAACCCAAATAATTACTCAGAGACATACAAATAAAACACATTTTTAAGGGTAGTTAGGGACAATTACAAAATCCGTAACAAATCCAGCCCAGTTAAGCTTTATTTGTAAAGTACTTTAAAAAAGAACTAACGTTCTTTTGTTTATGGGCTATTATGGCAAAGATAAACATGTTATGGCAAAAATATACAAAGAAATATAGATGTAAAACTCAAATAAGAATTGAACTATACAAAAAAACGATAAAAATAAAGCAAAATGTTTAATACACTGATCAACATATCATTAAGAAATTGGTTTAGAAGGTATCTTTAAACAGATGACAATAACAAAACACATAAATTCAAATAATAATAAAAAAAAAACATACTGATAAACAAAACAACAACAAAATAAACAAGTCTTTTTGATGCTTAAACCAAACCGTTTTTTTTTTTCACAGGCAAAGTTTCAAGAAATTTATTTTCTGGTATCAAAACTGGTGCTTAATGAAGTCATCTCAGAGTCTAGATCAGTGGCGTCTAAGCCTGGTCTGGAGGGTCCACTATCCTGCATGTTTCAGGTGTTTTTCTGCTCCAGCACACCTGATTTGAATCAGTTGACGATTAACAGGCTTCTGCAAAAAATGAAGAGGTAATTCAACCATTGGAGCAGGGAAACAAGAAAAACACACACTCCTTGCTAGGCCTGTCATGATAACAAATTTTGCTGGGCGATTAATTGTCTCAGAAATAATTGCGATAAACGATAATATTGTTTGAAATTTGACGATAATTAGTAATTATTGCCAAATTTAAGAACTGTTTATGCTGTTTTGCATGTAGTACCTT